CCACGCATTAACACTTTGCAACTGTATCACCAAGCTCTAAAGGGGAAAGGGGAGCAGAACATGAATCCTCTTTACAAATTACTTGTTCACATTCATTTCAATACTCAAATTTTATATCCGAAGCACTATGAGTAATATATGTAACTGCAAGTGTTTAAGTGAGAAAGCACAAGTTTATTTTTTAATTGATTGCTTAGAAGAAATGAAAGGCTACAACACAACTAACCAAGGAAACTAAATTGCAGGCATATTTTTAGCTACTAATAATTAAATGACAGTTGGATTTAGAGAAGCGTATGCAAGCAGCTCCTCATTGCTTTCAATTATGGTCATGTCTTCTTCTTTCAATGTCACCGACGCTTCTATGCCTTCCCCATCGCTCAAATCCATCAACATAATTGTATTCTTGACTGTACTACGAGTACTCACCCACGATGGCCTTCCCCATCCAAATTCGGTTTCGTACAAGGGAAGCCTGCACCAGCTGCTGCAACTATTGGTTTCTAAATCATCCCTTTCCGCGAGGTTGCCAGACCCTTTAATGGCTTGAAATATATCCTCACCAGTAACACCATTCGGATACTTTTCCTTGTACTGCTCAATGCCTTTCCTGAGTTTAACAACCAAGCTTTCAAATTTTACCTCACTTTCCATTGCCATTGCTGCAAACACCCACACAAAATTCCCCAATATGTTTTCTGCCAAGCCCTGCGGCGATCTCTTGCGCATATTCACAACCGGACACCACATAGATGGTTTTATAACACCCAACTTTGATCTGGATGCTTGTATTATGCATTTCCAAATGAGCGCAGACACTACTTCAACCCGTGTGGGGTTTGGCACTGTGGTGGCAGCTTTGGACTTGAGAGCAGCAATCTTTGAGGCATCAAATACAAATCTCTTTGTTATACAGTTTTTGTTAGAAAGTATCATTGAAAACTGGGGTGAGCTGAAGAAATCCAGGGGAGGGAAAAGAGAAGATGCAACACCAAATTCTACATGATCAGTAGTATTTGCCGAGCCAAGTGCAATTGCAGCCCATCTTTTGATGAATGCGCTGAGGGTAGAGGCATCGGCGACCTTATGTAGAATGCTGACTCCAATTGCCAATCCACCACATTCAAACAAGCTGGCCTGAACTAGTAGAATATAGCCTGCTTCGGCTTGTTTGGATTCTATAGCGGTTGGAAGAAATTGATTTAGGACCTGAAAATCGGGTTTCTCCAAAATCTTCGAAATGGGACAGTTGACTTGCGCTTCCAGAAATGCAGCCCCGTGGTCATTGCAGGTGATCGAGGCATTATATACGAATTCCCCTGCAAAGGGGTAAAAATGAGTGAGGGCTTCAGATAATGATCTCTTTAGAAGCTTGGATTTTTCAGCAAACAAAGATTTGTGATCAATATTGCCCTCATCACTAGTACTGGGATAGAAGAGAAGTAGTGGGGTATAAATTTCGGGTTGAAACTGATCAAAAACAGAGAGGTTGATTTTTTTAAGGTGGTGAGGAGTTGGAGAGGATGGTTCAATTGTTTCCTTGTGAATGACTTCAACCTTGATCTCTGAAACCATCTTTTGCTCCACAGTCTAAACTTGAGTTTCCCTAGGCCTCCATTTAAAAAGACTCAGATTCATCATGCAATGGAAGTCAATACATTTCTTGTACCCATTGTTTAGTATACCATATGTCACTCGTGGAAAGGAAAAATATTAGAGGACTTTTGAAAGTTGGATCCATCTGTATTTTTTGAATTATATAAAGAGACTTTTGATCTTAAAAATATATATATTCTAATTTCCTTGCGTGACAATTATTATATTGCCACCGACAATTAACATTTTAAGTTGAAATTGTAAAATTACCTAATTTCCTCTTGTAAAAAGCAACTATAGAATACTAATATAATAACAATATTTAGACAATAAAAAATTCACAAATGTAGTCTTATCTCACTCTTTTTTAGTCCCAATCCCTGCATACTAGGTCGTATTATGTTTTTGGCCCCTATAGTTTGGGCAAAGTTCCACTTTAGTCTTATAGCTTACTAGTTGCAATCCAATTTGTCTTAAATCTGCCTGCTGGATTGGAGGTTTTAGGTTTTTTGGACATGCGTAATTCTCTCCAGATCAAACAAATTTGTTTTTTTATTTGGTCACTAGAGATGTTGTACTCATATTTGACTTTGCGGCTATTCTGTACTTTTTATTGTGTTATCAATAAAATTACTATCTCTTATAAAAAAAAATTAGAACGTTTGGGACGCATATGAGAGTAGAGACATTAATCACAATTAATTATTATAATGGATGCAATCTGAGCCATTGAATGTGCTTTAATCTAACAGCCTAAAATGTGTATGATAATGTGTATCAAAAATGTGTGTCCCCTGATCCTTACCCTATATATATTACTTCTAATTAAATGACAGTAATTCCGAGAAACATTGCAAGAAGCTTCTCATTGCTTTTAATTATTGCCATGTCTTCTTCTTTCAAAGTCATGGACGCTGCCTTCATTAAAAAAATATAAATAAAAATAAATAAATAAAAGGTCACGGGCGATTCTACGCCATCCCCATCTCTCAAATCCATCAACAGAACTGTATTCTTCACTGCATTACGAGTCTATGAGTACTCCCCAATCCACATTCGGTTCATCACTTTCCATGAGGTTACTAGACTCTTTAGCGGTTTGAAGTACATCCTCACCAGTAACACCGTTCGGACTTTCCTTATATTCCTCAATGCCTTGCTGTTGATATTTTTGGCCAAATTGGTACCCATAATATGGTGGGCTTTAAGTGAGTCATGTGAGCCCATGTTATGGGCTAGGTTTTCACCCACAATTTGGTGGCTTATTAAACACACCACTTTACTAGCTATATATACTAGAGGTGGTGTAATTTTTGTATGTTTTGGGTACACTAGCTGTCTGGTGCACCGTCCAATACACATGAAACATGTGAAAATATACTCCAATACATATAGGATATAAAAATAAAATATTTTCAAATGAGTGTTGACACTACTTCAATGCGAGTTGGTTTGGCACCGTGGCACTAGCAGCTTTCTACTTGAGAGCAGTAATCTTTGAGGCGTCAAACACAAATCTTGGGGTGGGAAAAGAGAAGATGCACCACCAATTTCTACATGATCACTAGTACTTGCTGAGCCAAGTACAATTGCAGCCCAGCTTCTGATGAATGTACCAAGGGTAGAGGCATCGGTGACCTTATGTAGAAGTGTCTGATAGTGTGGATCCTATATCAGTTGGAAGCAATTGTTCTAGCAACCCAACATCTGGTTTGTCCAAAATCTTCGAGATGGGACAGTTGACATGGGCTTCAAGAAACGCAGCCCCATGATCATTGCAGGCGATCGAAACATTATATACGAATTCCAATGCAAAGAGGTAGAAATGAGTGAGAGCTTCAGATAAAGATTTATTTAGAAGCTCGGAATTTTTCAACAAACAAAAAAATTAGGGGTTAGCATTATTACCGAAAACCCAACAGAACCGCCTAAACCGGACCGCCTAAGGTGGTTTGGTTCGGTTTTTACACTGGAAAATTGAAGAACCGGTAAAAAAAGGGCCGAACCGGCCATGAATCGCGTTGGACCGATTTTAATTGGCTACAAACCGCCAAAAATCGGACCGGACCGAGTATTTTAATTATATTATTAAAAAATAAGTAATACACGTGTCAAGTAATGATTCG